CACCTCCATCTCCGCCCCCATCTCCCCCCCCCTGTCCTGCCCGGCTAGGCCATGCTCTACGCCTCCCGCGAGGTCCGCATGCCCTCCACCGGGGAGCCCGTGCAGATCCGTATCGGCATTAGCAGTGGGCCCGTGGTCAGCGGAGTGGTCGGGACCCGCATGCCGAGGTTCTGCCTCTTCGGGGACACAGTGAACACGTGAGTGAGGGAGGGGGGGATATGGCGGGGTAATGGAACCGGTAGACTGGGCCAGGGGGCGGGGGACATGGGGACATGGGGCGGGGGGCAGGGGGAGTTCAGACGGTCAGGTAGCAGGTGGAGATTGTGTGGCGTATGGCATAACTAGTGCGGATCCGCAGGCCTGCACAGACTACAGTCTACACGCGCGACCCTTCCTTACCCCTCTCCACCCCTCCCTCCCCTCCCTCCCTCCCCCCCCTGCAGCACCAGCAGGATGGAGAGCACCGGGCAGCCGGGGGCCATACACGCCAGCGAATCCGCGTACCAGCTGCTCAAGTCAGAGGCCTGGGAGCCAACGGGGGGCATTGAGGTCAAAGGTGGGTGGGAGCAGATTTGGGAGAGGAGGAAAAAAGGGGAGATGTGCTGTATGATGATGGGGTTGGAGGCCATGAGCATCGATGAAGCTTTTTCGGCGGCTTGTCTTTTCGGTGGTTTCGGCGGTGGAGAGCCTGAGAGCCTGCTAGTGCGCCGAGGCGGGGGTTGTTCACCGCCAGACGGCACTGCGGCCCGGAGGGCCCCCGACGGCTTCAGAGGGCGCCCAGACTCGTTCGGTTACTTACAACGAACGATTGCGCCGATGCCCTTACTTTAGAGACATGTTCTGACGCCCATAACATTGTCCGTCTAGCGACGTATGTGTGACAATTAACAGATAAAGCCGACGGCGCCTACATTCGCTTACATCATGAACTACATACAGATCATGAACATTTGGCTATGCTATGTTACCCCACCTAGCTCTAGAGCCAAAACAGTTCTGCAGCTCGTTTCCTTGGCTTCCGCTGTTGACTTTTACCGTTTGGTTGTTTCGGTTGTCGGTTGTACTTTAACGGCCAGGCAAGGGACTCATGCAGACGTTTCTGTGGAGGCCAATCCTGGCGACTTCAAGTACGACAGTACGGCAACTGCCCGCCAGCTCTGCATCCGCGGCAGTGGCGGCGGCCGCCGCACTCAAGTTACATGGCGGCTGCGGCAGCGTGATGATGCCGTACACGGCAAGCGGCAGCACCACTGCCGCTGACAGTCCGCAGGGCTCCGTTGCGGCTGCTGCTGCTGCGGCGGCGGCGGCGGCGGCGGCGGCGGCAACACTACTTGGCCGCCACGTCAATTCCTTAGGCGCCGCACGTCAGACGACGGCAGGCGCCCGAGTAGTAGCAACGCCCCTAGGTGCAGGTGCTGGTGCAGGTGCTGGTGCTGGTGCAGGTTTCGCCAGCATGGGCGACGTCGACGACGACGACGACAGCGATCCGCTGGTATCGATGCTGCTGAACCACGCGGATTAACATTGTCTGGGGTGACGGATGGTGGATAAAAGCTGCGGATTGTATTGCCGGCGTGAGAGCGGTGGGCGGTGGGCAAGATTTGGAGAAGAAGTTTGGAGTGAGGGTGAGTGCGGATTGAAATGTCAGCTGGAGCGGAGCGCGTCAGCGTGAAACGGTTTGCGGTGCGCTGGTGGTGTCGTTGCTTGTTGTTCGGCGAGCGAGCGAGCGAGTGAGTGAGCGAGCACACTCGGAATACGCATGCAGCATGTACAAAGACGAAGGAATAGAATTATATACACATATATGTGAAATGGGAAATGGTTTTGGCTGGGGGCTCGAGTGCGCAGCTAGGCAGGGTTGCCGACCCCCCGGACCGAACCCCCCTTGTTGATAATCTTGTTGTGGTTGTTGTTAATTGCAAGGCACTCTTTTTTTCCTCAGTTTCCCGGGGGCGGGCGGGAGTGCCTCTATTGCCAGTAAGTGTTGTGCTGCCCATATAACAGGACACGTCGTACAAGTAACAATAACAACAACGATGGATGTAAAAATCCAGGTGTGGCGAGCCCCCTTGGAGAAGTGTATAAGCAATTGCGTCGGTGTTTATGTGAAGAAAGGTTTTTCAAAATGTTGTTAATGAATGGAGCAGGTATGTTACACAGGAGGTCTGAATATGTGCCAGGGAAGGGGGAGACCTGCAGAGCGGCATGTCTCGAGGTGGTGTAGGGTTTTGGGGGAGAGGTTATCGTATAAGGTTTTACGGATGTTTAGGACAGCCCTTAGAACAGGTAGCCACCTTCGACTGGTGATGCGGACAAAAGATTTGCTTATTTTTTGGAACGGTGGTGGTTTTTGGAACCTGTGTCGTGAGGTTATTGCTGTCCTGAATAATGCTGGCCGAGACGGTGTGGCTGTCTCGGCCGCATCTGTCTCTTCCCATCCATAGCTCTGACGGTGGCCACGCCGCCGGTTGAGCCGGTTGTACGCGTTGGGCGAGTTACAATTAGGCGAAAAAAGAAAGGCGAGATATTGTTTGACGAATTATTGGAACAGGCAAATAATACTGCAAAAATGTGTTGGTATTTTTAAGTACGTGGGAAGAAGCGCGAAAAAAGCAAAGGTATTGGAATGCATGATGGTGGTGTCCCGATGGTGGCGTTTTGGCATATGATGATGATGATGACTTTGGTGATGGTGATGGTGATGTGCGTGGGGTGCTGTGAGGTAAAAAATGTGCGAGCTATTTGCTGAGCTAGGCAGGTAGGCAGGTAGGTAGCGTCAAAAAAACCGCATAGTGGGAAATATTTCGGAAATGTGTATCGCCGGCGTATTTCATGTAGCCAGCAGGCGCTATTAGCGACTACTTGGGCCAAATAATGTGGCCCGCCGTTCTCTGTCTGTATGTATGTATATGTGCGCATCTCATTATGCGCGTCTGTATTAACTTAGGCCAGTTACTGTTGATTACGTAAGCGCCGGGAGCCCCACCTGCCGTTACTTAGTTCTATTTCGGTCATCCGGGCCGACACCGCAATCCACCTGACCTCAACCTGATGGTGGCAAGTGCACAAGCCATTCGAAGCTGTTGGTGAGGGCTGTATATCTAGCTATTAGCGCTTGTGCCGAAGTCATCATACTCCGCGGGGTGAGAACACGGCGGCAAGTCGACACACACGCGCGCACACACATACACATACACACACCGCCCTCCTTTTTGGCGACGGCGATTTAGGGGGGCAGCATGTAATGACTGCTGCCAAGGGTGGCACATTTCCGAACACGCTTTCCTTGTCTTATTGCGGATGGGATGGATGAACAGGGCGAATGACGCGAAGTTGTTATTATGAACGGACGGACGGACGGACAGACGGACGGACAGACAGACGGACGGACGGACAGACGGACAGACGGACGGACAGACGGACGGACGGACGCACATAAATATCGATGGCCGCACTGTGGGCAGCCTATTGTGGTAACAAATCTTTATCATTTTGTTGGATGAAGATATCTGGCTTAGCAAGCCTCGTAGTGAACGTCCCTTTTTTGTTACTGCTGCTGCTGCTGCTTACAGCATGTATGTATGTATGTATGTATGTATCATCATCAGGTCTCAGGACTCGGGATATTTTTTACGGCAATTAGTATCAGCCCGTGGGCTGCATGTAGGGCAATTCGTGTTACCGTCTTCCTTGATGGCTGGCCCGGGTCGCAAGCCACCACGTGCACGTTTCTATGAATCGCCGGTAATACTAGAGGCTGGTGAGTCTGGTGAGTTATTACGGCACCGTGTCACACGACTGACGGCCTGACGGACATCTTGGGTGTGGATATGTGCATGTGTACGATTCCAATTTTGTTAGGCTTCATTTTTGCCGTACATCGTAATGCGTTACACATTGTCAGCCGAAACAACGACGCGCCTCCTTCCCTTCCCGGCTCGCGGCTGGGATCGGTTTTTGATTCACGTCATAGTAAGCATTGCATGTCTGGAGTCATATCACCAACCACGATTGGTAAAGGGAGTTTTTTGCTGCGAACACTTTTAAATTGTGGATGTTCGAGTGTGGATGTAGGGTGCTCCTTTTTTGTTAGGGGGCCTCAGAAGCTATTCATGTCGTATACTGCTTCCGTACGGTGGGTCTAATTGCAGCAAAAGTCTGAACGGATGCCTGAAGGGCAAATGCCCCGGCCTTCCAGTTGTCGCTGTCTAAATAGGCGCGATCTTTGATTATGGCTGTCGTGCACAACCCTAAGTATGTATGTCCGTATGCATGAACGTACTTTATGTTTTTTTTGTGTTTTTGTTATGTTGCCATGTGTACGTAAAACCTGAATTAGTGTGGGGTGTACGACGATCTGCGATGATTGATTGGCACCCACACAATGTATACACGTGCACGCAACCTCGCGTATCACGTACACGTGCACGGGGCGATGTGGTGCTT